CGCCCTGTGTCAGCTGGAAACGTCAACTGCTGTCTCTCTGCTGGGGCTGTGGTGTGAGTCCATCTCATCGAAGCCTTTTGTTACCTTTTAGGGCCAAAATGTCCTCAAAAGGACCAAACATGACATCCTTTTCCAGCCGCCGGTCTTTCCTGAGCATGTATCCCATGTGAACACACTGAAGTTCACCACCTTCACATAGTTTGTTTTTTAAAATATTTTTATTACATTTTATTATTATTATTATTATTAATTTCAATGAACATCTACAGAGATTTTGGGATTCCATTCATTCATCGTTGCACTTTTCTCCCCACCCACTCACCCCCACCCCCACCCCCAGTTTGCTCCTCTCCTTGAAAAGCCAAAGAAAAACTCCTTCATTGGTACACATCGTTTTTTTAAAAAAATTATTAATAGAAGATTTATTTAAGCAATAATGGCCATTTCTGTTAAATTTAGTATGAGATATTAAATGGTCATTCCAGTTTTCCTACCTGGATAAGTTTTTCTCTCCTATCTCTCTCAGTTTTGAAAACATAATACCAGAAGAAGAGGGTCCCAATGCCAAACACAGCCCCAATGAGGGAGAGCTTGCGCCTGAAATTGGGATTGACATTCACCAATCTTGCATGGGTCCAGCGAGTCAAGGCAGGATCTTCAATGATCGACTGGGGTTTGGGGTCATTGTGCTGAAGCAGATACTCCCACTTAAGCCGGGATCGAATGGTCAGCCGCTCTGTGTGAGCCTGCCGGGCCTCCGGAGATATGTTGTGTTTGGCTGGGTCAAGGGTAGCAGGTAGGGTGGCCAGGCGTGAGGGATTGTACGTTGGGAACGACATCTTAGCTATCACCTTCACTTCTTAAGAGCACTCTGCTTGATTTCTTCTGAGTATCGACAGAGGAACCCTGATGATACAGTACGTTAGCACCTGGCTGTTAATGGGAAGGTTGGTGGTTTGAACCTACGTAACGCTCTGAGGGAGGAAGGTAAGACAGTTCCCTCCCGTTAAGAGCCACAGACCTGGAATCCTGACAGGAGGTCAGCATTAGCTGGAACTGGTTTGATGGCACTGGGCTTGGCTTTTGGTGTTTCCTGGAAGTCCGCGGTATTAGGGTCAGAGAGAGCAAAGGGACCATGGAGAAGAAGGGCCAAGGAAATGGCAGGACTAGAGCCAGCAACACCTGTCTCCACTTGAGGCAAACTCCACTCTCCACCCCAAAGTTCTGTGTTTGAACTAGGGGCATTCTGACCCTGAGGAACACCTGTGTTACGTGGTAGAGAAAGTTGCTTCTCGCCACAGATCAGAAAGAGCCATAAACTAGTATTAAAAAAAAAAAGCAGCCACTAATTGGAAAAGCAAAAGCAAAGAAAGGTAAGTTTAGGGAGAAGACCCCATAAATCCCAGGAGTCTGCCCCCACACTGATGTTTCTTCTCATGAGAGACAGGACCTGCTGTCTTAGTGTATTGTACTTGGCTGCTTGTATTTCTTTATTCTTTCAACAATTAGCCTAATCCTGTTGGCTTCTGTGTCTGTCTGCGGCCACCTTCTCCAGAGAGAACTTTCTAGTCCTGTCTGCATCTCTTCTCTCCCAGTCCTAGGACCTCACACGGGGGACAGTCAGAGTCCTTGCCCAGCACCTCCACGCCAAGGCAGTCGCTACCTTAGAGGCTTCTCATCCACAAACAAGAGACATAAACAATCTCAAGGTTACAGGAAATAATCACTGTAGTAAAATAATTATGAAATAAAGAGCTCTGAATATTTATTACCTTTGTGGGTAGTTTAACTTATTCAATTGTAAACTTATTTAACATTTAATAACAGCTGTGTTTGACAATTGGTCCCCACATCCCTGAAAACGTAGGTACTGAGTTTTGTGGGCCAGTGTGTGTGTGTGTCGGCACCAGCAGGGCTCGGCTGGGTTTATGAATCTGTTTGAATGTGTATTTTAATGTGTCCGGTGGGAAATGAAACTCTTAAACCAAGGATCTTACTGCTCAGAGCAAGTCTGAGTTATTGTCTTCAGGGGTGACCTGACTGAAAGTCAATTAAAAACGCATTAAGTAACTAGGAGGAGGAGGGGGCAGACGAGGAGAGCAAGGAAGTCAAGTTTGGGAAATAAACATGCTTTGTGGAAAAAGTGTCAGGTACAGTCCTGGGGACACAGCAGAGTAAACAGTGATTCACACAGGGGAAATGCTACCACCAATCAATACCCCGTGAGGAAAGACGTGTGGCTTAGGCAACGATGGAGAAGTGTGAAATGGACACAACGGGGTGCCCCTTGCTGGATAGGCGCCTGGCAAGAGACCAGTGTGCCCCAAGAATGTCAGTGCTGCTCCGGGGCCAGCCCTTTGGACAGAGCTCAGAACTAGCTCACAGCTGACCCTGCAGCAGGTTTACAGAGGCTGTGATTCGCATGGGAAGAGACTGCCCATCCTTCTCTCATAGAGAAGCTGGTGGCTTTGAACCATGAACCTCTGAGTTGGCAGTGCAACTCACCACTAGGCCACGAGAGCTTTGGAATAAAACTCAAGCATGAAACATGTCACTCGCTCTGTCCTAGCAATGTCTCTGCCTGGAATCTCCTCAGAGAGAAAAGTCCCCAAAATACACCTAGACAGTCTCAGGTGTTCGCAATAATCCCTTCTTTTCTGAAACACATTCCTTCTCCCATGATGTTTATTTGTAACAGTTAAAAAAACAAAACAAAAAAGAGAGAGAGCAACCATGAACAAAACCAAACCAAAAAAGGCAGTTATTTAAATACGAATGTGGACTCTTGGGGAGGTGTTAAAGTGATATTTAGAGAGATTAAGTCAAGCCACAGGATACTAGTTAATTTAATGCTAAAGACATAAACTTAGCCTGCAGCACCCGGTGCCCAGCGTCTTGGGCGGGCTGTGAGCGCGTCGGAAGGCGGCAGAGAGGTTGTCCTCTCGAGTTTAATCCTAACAGCGTGAGAACAGCAGGAACCACTTCACCCGGGCACACTGGCTGAGCCCCTACTGAGTGCTGGGCCCTGTTCTGATCCAAACAGCAATCCTGGGAGTCAGTGGGCTTGAAGCCCAGTCTAATGATGGGGAAACTGAGGCTGGGTAAGTAAATTGACCCAAAGTGCCAGTCTGCCTTAGTTAGCAGGGGCTGGAGCTGGACTGGGCTTCAGGGGGTGGACAGGGCAGGATGGGGGAAATGAGTGTCGCCTGCAGCCCTGTGTCCCAGGCTCTTCTGTGTAACAATGTACGTCTCACCCTGATGGAGCAAGTGCTTGACGCCCATCAAGAAAGAGCTAGTGAACCGATCCTGCTAAGAAGTCAGCCGGGAAACCCAGGCCGCTCTCGGTCACTGTGGCCACCACGGGGTGCAGGAGTCCCCTCCTAACAACGTGACCACTGTCAGGTGAGGCCGCTGTCAGGTGTGCAGGCCCTGCTCTGGGAGGACACACGGCAGGGGATGCCCTTGTGAGTGGCCTGTCCCGCCTCGTGGGGACCCTGAGGGGGGGATGCCAGGCACCTCCCGATTTTCACAGGCACTGTGAGAAAGAGGAGTGCAATGAGCTGGCGAACGAGGAGGGCAGAGGGCGGGAGGACCCTGGGCCCCAGGTGGGAGGTACAGGCCTGAGTTTCCCGATCCATCACACCCCAGGAATTTGAACCCCAGCCCCACGCACGAGCTAACTCTCTGAATTCTAGTTAGGAAGCCTCCTAGAGCTTATGCAAGAAAGGAGACATTTTTTCTGGAAGTTTCTAATTTTCTGGAATTTCTTCCTGCAGAGACCACACGCTGGACTCCGGCTGCATAGCCAGGCAGAAAGCCTGAGCTATCTATACCGGTGGAAAGTTCCGGGTGAGGTGGAGGGGTCAGAGGGAGGGCATGGGTCACAGCAAGACCATGGGGTCAGGAGGAGGTCAGAGGGTGGCTGGAGGGTCAGATGAAGTTGCAAGGTCAGAAGGAGGTGGCAGGGTCAGATGAGGTGGCAGGGTCAGAAGGTGGTTGCAGGATCAGATGGAAGTAGCAGGGTCAGAGGGGGGGTCACAGAATGAGGGGGCGGTCATAGGGTCAGAGGGCTGCCGCAGAGTCCAGGGAGGAGCCAGTTCACGGTGGGAGGTCATGAGTTGGAAGGTATGGGGTCCAGTGAACCCCCAGTGGAGGAGAGGCTGTCCAGGGAGGTGGGGGGGTGGGGCCTAGGCAGTGACCACCAGGGGACACAGGCCATCGAGGAGGCCAGTCAGGGGGACCCCCCTCGAGCCCTGGGGGAGTGGACTCTGACCCCGGCCCTCCACCAGGCATCAGGCTGTGAGCTTAACCCTCAGGCCAAGCCTGCCGTCTCCCCACTCGGAGCGGGACGCAGCCCAGCTTCCTGGTGACCTGATGTGACACTGTCTCTCCAAAGCCCGGCACCCCATTCCCACAGTGCTGGACACCGAGGAGGAAAGCGGGGCTGGGGTGTGGGAATGGGCTGGTGGGCAGAGGCCTGGGGTGGCTGGAAGCTGAGGCACCAGAGAGTGAAGGGGTGAGTCTACCAAATGTCCAGCCGTGGGGTGGCCTGTGTCCTGCTGTCCCCGAGCTGAGCATGTGCAGTTGGGAGACCCCCCCTTAAGGGTGACAGTGTCGCGCGTGCAGGAGAGAAGCCATGAGCACTGGGCTCCAGGGGTACCACCCTGGCCCTGTCCTGACCAGTGGGGCAGTGAGTGGGGCCACCGGTGCAGTGGGGGGAGGCACCGGTGCAGTGAGTGGGGGGCTGCTGGTGCAGTGAATGGGGGGGCTGCCGGTGCAGTGAGGGGGGAGCTGCCGGTGCAGTGAGTGGGGGGCTGCCGGTACAGTGAGTGGGTTGCTGGTGTGGCTAGCAGGAGTGCCTGTGCAGATACCCCCATGGTCCCACAAGCCCCTCCCCAGCCTGGTGCAGGTGTGTTAAACGCGGGGAAGCCCAGCCCTCCATGAATTGAGTGGAGGCAGGCAGGCACCCTTGCCTATTCCCCTCGCCTCCCCTAACTCAGTTATGGGGACCGCCGGCTGGGGCCCTCGGTGCCATCTGCATGGTGATGTGATTTGGTGCCCGGCTCCAGGCTGGCGGGGAAATCATATTTCCGTGATGGAGGATGATGGAGTGAGCGTCTGTGGGGACCATGGAGGCGGGGGGCTGCGTGGAGGGGAGCGCTGGGGCCTCCCACATTGCTTTTTAAGTGGCAGCTCAGGCTGCTGGGGTGCCCCTCCTCCCCGGCCCTGGGGATTTCTGACAGGGGTGCTCGGTCCTTCTCTGTGGGCAGGCCCTCTACCTGCAGGGGGACAGCAGGTCAGGTGGGGGGGGGTGGTGATTTGGAAGCCCCTCAGCAGAGAGGCCTCTGGCTCAGTCACAGCCCTGGGTTAAGCCCTGTCTCTGTCACCCTGATAACCTAATGAGCTCTGGCCCCCCATTTACTGTAAAGTGGGGCTCTGATTAGATGAGGCGGCACGTGCCTGGCCTGAGTGACTGTCTTTCCGCTGTCCCTGCCAGCCTGAGAGGACAGGAGTTCCAGGTGTCTTCTTACCCATCTGTGACATGGGCATAAACGCACAAGCACATCCACGGCTGGGAAGAGCAGCCGTCCAGGCCGTGTGAGGAGCTAAGACTCCCCAGGCCGCAGAGGCATCAAGTGGCCTTTCCTTACGTGGCTAAGTAAGGCTTTGAAGAGCTTAATGACCACTGACTGCCCACAGGGAGCCTCATGGAGACCTGGACGTGGGGAAGTGGGGAAGACGGGGGCCTTCAGCCAGGAGGGGGGGAGCTGGTCCCATTTCATTCTCTGCACCCTGCTGACCCCTGGTACACCCATGAGGAAAGTGGGAAGTCGCAGGGCGCCCGATGAGCCTCTGACCCGAGCCCCCTGCTGCAAGCCCTGCGTGTCACCTAGTAATCCAGAGCATCTTCCGGTGAGCATCACTGCTGGTCACTCAGATGCTAAGACCAGGTGCTTGTGCCTGGTTGTAACAGGGCCACTTCCTTTTCTCGTTACCCTGTGTCCTGATACCTGGCTCCGAATAAACCACTGGGGACTGCAGAGGAGGGGGCAGGGGGCACGCACGGCCTCCCTGTGAGGGTTTCAGAGGCCTGGGAGCCCCTGTGGGGTGGGCTCAGCTGGCCTGAGAGGCAGAGGGATGATCAGCCCAGCTCACTGTTTCCTCCATTCCTGTACCTGCTGTAAGTCCTTCCTTTGCCTGGGGACCGCCCCCCTCCAGGGTGCACATGGTGACCCTGCACTGAAGCCAGGTCCTGTGGTCAGGGCGCCCTGAGTGCTGGCAGCAGCCCTGGCCACTGGGGGCATGTCTGTCCCTCTGTCCCAGCTTCCCTCTGCTTCTAATTTGTGCTCCTGTCCAACCCACCTGCTGGCTCAACCTTCTGCCACAGTGACCTCCAGAGACCCCTTCCCACAGTGAAGCCTGAAAATGAGCTTGGGGGAGCCCCAAGGGGTGGTCTGAACCTAATGACGGAGGCCCCAGGAGCCAAAGTGCTAAGAGCGATATTTGCAACCCCTGCTTTCAAAGGGCAGAGCCATGCATGCCAGGTAGGTCCTGCCCAGGTGTAAGGAGACTGGCGGTGGCCCCCGTGTAGAGAAGTTTAGAGAAGTGGGGGTGCTGGGTTCCTTCACATGATAAAAAGCTGGTCTGGGAAGCAGCCTGAAGTTGAGAACAGCAGGTGGGAGACCAGGCTGTCTAGAAGCAGCCACTCCTGGGGGTTCTCCAGAGGCACAGAGGGAATTATAGCTTCTTGAACAAGCCTTCTGGTCACACTCCTGATGTTTCTTTAAGTGACCAAGCAAAACACAGGAGAACATTCATGACTATTTTGTCACCAAGTGGCATTTCTTTGACTGGGACCTAAAATTTGATGGCGATGCATGAACCTAGGATCCAGTCAGGTTACAGCTAGGAGACGTAGCAGGCAAAGCCAAATTGGAAGGGGGTCTCAGTGCATGAGGGTGTGTCTGCTGGCCTGGGGGGCTGCTGGATGGAGGGCAGGGGGGATCAGCCAAGGTCATGGGGAGCTGTGGACGTGACGAGGGTCCTCGGAAGGAAGGTGACACCACACCAGGCTGCTGGGAAAGCGGGGGTCTGGGTGGGGAGGACTGGAGAAGGGGGGATCCTCTCACAGGACACTGACTGCCAGGCAGGGCTGGATGTGGGGAGGTGCTGGAGGTGAGTAAGCCAGGCAGCCTTTCATCGGATCTGTGCTCAGGAGGGTGCAGCCCCCCGAAGCCCGACAAGGCGCACAATTGCTGAACGTGGGTGTTTGGAGGATCCAGGGTGACAATTTGGAAATGAAGCAGCATCATTCTCAGCCTGCTCCTGGAGAGGCACTGATTACAGTCCGCCCCCTGATCCAGCAGCCTCTCCTGCCACACCCCCCCCCCCCCCCCGTGACACTTGATGCCACAGAGCCACCAGGCTGCAGCAGCACGTGGTGTCAGCCCCGCCGGCAGCCTCGCTGGGGGGCGTGCTCTGCCTGGGGTGTCCGCGGGTGAGCTCTGAGGCAGCCTCAGGCCTTGCGTGTGGCTCCCCGGACGACGGCCCTCCTGGCCCTGTGACATCATTGTACCTCATCTCCAGCATCTTGGATCTGCCTCACTGTCTCTGCGTCCCCAGAACCAGGCACAGCCCCAGGCTGTACCTACCGCCAAGCAGTGTGGTATCATTACCGTGACCATGCATGGAAGTGGGGAGAGGTGATTCCTGCTGACCAGAGGGCAGGGTGTGAGAGGAAGCAGAGACTCGGAGGGCACTCGTGCTCCAGTGCTCCCCCATCACACTGCCCGAGTGTACTCGGGACCACCGCCTCCCCTGCACTGGCATGTTGTGTTGTTGTTATGTGGTGCTGCCGAGCTGTCTGCAACTCATAGCGGCCCTGTGCACAACAGCTCTGAAGCCTGTCCTCTCCTACGTCGGTCTCCCTGCCTCTGACACTCCTACCCCCATCCATGGCTCACCACAACCCCAGAAATAACACGTCTGAACCCCGCCCTGTCCTGCGCCGGCCCCCTCAGCTCTGCTGGACTTGAACTCATAGCTGCAGTCACCGTGCCAGTCTATCTCATTGAGGGACTTCCTCTCCTTTGCTGACCCTTCACCTTAACAAGCGTGATGTTCTTCTCTGAAGAACTGTGGTCACGTGCCAGAGTCAGATCGATCCCTAGCTGAGCTTTCTGTGGGTTTTCAGAGTCAGTAAAATCACACAGGAGGAGACTGTTCATTTTCACTCAGCGCAGCTGGTGGATTCAAACAGTGTACTTTCGGGGTTGCAGGGCAGCTTCTTAGCACTAGGCCACCACAGCTACCTTCTCCAGGGAAGAGCCCCGTCTAACAATATGCCTAAAATACGCGAGATGAAGTTTCAGCATCCTTGTCTCTAAGAGAACCCTGGGCGCACCGTCCTCCTGGCGTCTTGAATTACATGTGGTGCCGATGAGAAAGAAACCAGTTCAAACACGGTGCCTGGAATACGACAGGCGCCTAATAGACATTTCTAGACTCACAAGCACCCAGTCGGAGGGCCAGAGAGGTGAAAGGATCTGCTTGTGTGACACTCCTCCCAGCTGGGCTGCAGCTGCTGGGGCTTCTGCCGGTGACCCAGTGAGCACCACGGGACCCCATGACTGTGACCACTAGACCCGGGTTCCACACGGCCTGGGCTGAGCAGTCCTGCTACATCCCGGGCCCCTTGTGGTCCAGTCTCAGGAACCAGACCAGTTCTCTGTGATGTAGCAGGAACCCCATGCAACAAGGAGGAATCACACTCTCACAGGGTTCAGTGGCCACACTGGTCAGCAGATGCGGCCTGAATCCAGCCCAGGTCGACCCTCCGAACCAGAGGTCTGGTCGGCAGACGTGGCCTAAATCCAGCCCAGGTCGACCCGCCAAACCAGAGATCTGGTCGGCAGACGCGGCCTGGATCAAGCCCAGATTGACCCCCTGAACCAGAGGTCTGGTTGGCAGACGCAGCCTGGATCCAGCCCAGGTCAACCCCCTGAACCAGAGGTCTGGTTGGCAGACATGGCCTGAATCAAGTCCAGATTGACCCCCTGAACCATAGGTCTGGTCGGGTCGGCAGACGCGACCTGGATCCAGCCCAGGTCGACCCCCTGAACCAGAGGTCTGGTCGGCAGACGCGGCCTGGATCAAGCCCAGGTCGACCCCCTGAACCAGAGGTCTGGTTGGCACACATGGCCTAAATCAAGTCCAGATTGACCCCCTGAACCATAGGTCGGCAGACGCGGCCTGGATCAAGCCCAGGTCGACCCCCTGAACCAGAGGTCTGGTTGGCAGACATGGCCTAAATCAAGTCCAGATTGACCCCCTGAACCATAGGTCGGCAGACGCGGCCTGGATCAAGCCCAGGTCGACTCCCTGAACCAGAGGTCTGGTCACTGGACGCTTCCTGAATCAAGCCCATGTAGACCTTCCGAGAGGTTTACACCTTGAACCTGCTCCTTACTGCCAAGCACTTGCCCTGCCTGTGACAAAAAGGACATCTGGTCACATAGCTCCCTGTGTCTCCCACAAGGAGAAGCCCAGAAAGGCCAGGAAAGAGGGTCCTCCCAGCTCTCCAGTCTCAACCTCCATCCATCCTCAGGTGGGAGTCCCTCACTCCATGCCACAGCACCATGCAATGACGGCTGAGTTTGGACAAGCACGTGGATGGTTCTGGAAACTCCCTCCTGAGTCAGCACCCAGGGCAAGGAGGCCAGAGGTGAGGCTGCCTGGAGACAGCAGAGCCCTGGGCACGGCCTTCAAGAGCTCAGCCTTCACACCTGTTCTCAGGAGATGTTCCTGGAACACAGCAGGCTCTGGCTCCCTTCACAGCCAACTCCCTTGTGGACACACACAACTGCATAATGTGTGCTCATATTCGAAGGACAGTGTGGATTGCGGGAGGCTGCTGGGCCAGGCACAGAGGCAGCAGTGAGGGGGAGACTGGAGAGCTGTGAGCTCCACACAGCGGCCTGGAGGGCAGCAGTCAGGGGTCCCGGGCGGCCATCCACATGCCTGCCATCCACCACCCCAGCGTGTTATCATGAGCCAGTGTGAGGACGGCCAGCCAAGAAGAGATGAGTTCAGTGAATGGGATGCACGAGAAAGCCCAGGGCTGGTGAGAGAGATTAGGAAGGACACAGAATGAGAGGCCGAGATGAGAGAGGACAGTGAGGACACTGAAAGCCAGATGCAGCTGGGGCAGAAAGAGAGGGAGGGAGAGACAGAGAGAGAAGCAAACACAAGAAAGGGGGGAGAGACAGAAAGAAAAAAAGGAGAGACAGAATGAGAAAGAGAGAGGAAGGAGGTGACTGTGTGTGAGAGAGAGAAGAGGGGGCAGAGGCAGGGAGAGGTGGCCGTGAAAGGCGGAGAAAGCAGAAGAGAGACCGAGGCCCAGAGACAGACAGAGACATAGGGAGAGGGAAGAAAGGGACCGAGAGAGAAAAGGAAGAGGGAGGAGAGAACATGAAAAGGACCGACATGAAAGCGGAACTGGGAGATGGTGGGAGAGAGAGACAAAGGCAGAGAGAGGCAGACAGACAGGACCAGAGAAACAGACGGCAGACAGAAAGGGAAAGACTGAAAATCAGAGGTACCAAGATGTAGAGGCAGAGTGAGATAGAGATGGAGAAGGGAGACAGAGGGAGACATGAAGGAGAGAGACAGAGAACACACCATTTAAATTGCAAATTTTTAGCCATCAAAACAATGCGGCCACTCAGAAGGCACAGGGCACAGCCCCAGACCACTCAGCATTTATCACTGGAGTCTGCAGCCTGACGGATGGGGCAGTTAACCGATCAATACACACACACACACACACACACCCCGATCTAAGTGGGTCTTATTTACATCCTTCATTATTGAAAAGGTCACTGACTGCTGGCTATTTAAATGATCATTAGCGTGGCTGTATCTCTGCTGGGCAGGATACTAAGGTTAGCGGCGTAGCTCCTGCCAGCCCAGGGCTGGCCAAGTCCTCAGGACAGCCGGCGGGGAGCCCACTGGACATCTGTATAAGAAAAGATGGTAAGAGAAACTAACTCGCTCCCTGATGCCCAGTGCCCACGGCAGGAACCCTGGGATGGTCTTGAGGTTCCAGGAGTGTCTGCAGGCTGCAAGGACTCTATGTAGAGTCCTTGACCTGGACATCTGCCTGGGTTCTACACCCCAGCGGGCCCTGTCCCTGGTGCTGGGCAGCCCTTGCTCAGGATTCGTGGGCCAGGCCCTGTTCTGCCCACCAGCCTGGAGCTGAGTAGGAATTAATAAGAGTGCAGTAGAGAACATGAGGCATAAACAGGACCCTTGGGCAGGGTTACTGGCCTCTGCTGGGTCAGCCACTCCACAAGGCCAGCACTCCAGCTTCCATTTCTCTCCTGTGCCACCCCTCATAGCCTGCCTGCATCACCCCAGATACTCCTTATGTGGTACAATTTACATGCAAGGAAGGGAACGAGCAATATTTTTTATTTACTTCAATGCTAGGAAAAAAGAAATCTCCACTGCCAACAGACTGATTTTGATCAGACCATAAAGACTTGGAAAGCCATCTAATTTCCCTTTTTGCCTTGACCGCCAGGAAACTCACAGCTCCATTCAAGTTTCAAGACAATGACTCTCACACCAGACATTAAATGCGATGAGCTTGCAAGCTTTGCTTCCAAGCTCTGATACTACCTCTCAGTCTGACTTCCTGTCCATCCTTTCACGGACAGCTTCATATCCCTCCAGGCAAACCAGGCGCTTAAACAAATAACCAGGGGGCCAGCCAGACAAACACAGCAGCAATCATGACCTGGTGCTTTCCACGCTCACTGAAGATGACCCACACAGAGCGGCAGGGCCTCGGCGGCGACCACTCACCAGGCGGACGAGCTCTGGAAGGTCATCAGTGGTGGGCTGTGGCCATCTCCCCGCAGTGTGTGCATGGCCTGGGGGGCCTGTGGCAGGGGGCCTGGGGGAGGCTGCGTGGTCGGCTGCCCAGGCCGAGGGGCCCGTGTGGGGTTTCCCCACCGCCGGGGGTCCTGTTTCATCCAGCGTCCGTGGATGCCCCACCGCGCCAGGTAAACCTTGCAAATGTCGTAGTTCATGGCCGAGTAATACAAAAGATCCAGGACCAGCAGCATCAGCACGAAGAAGCCATACATCCACACTCCCAGCAGCGCCGTGTAGTTGCTGGAGATAGAAGGAGAGGGGGTGAGTGGGAGACGCAGGGAGAGACAGGGGCTGCGTGGGGTCCCCACATCGTGGCTGCCACCTCTCCTCACTCCCACCCTCCATCTGCCCAAAGTGCCTCCATCCAGACCAAAATCCATCTGCCTCAACTCCAGGCCGGCCTGAGCACCCCCCAGGACCCCAGTGTTGGCACTGGGGAGGGCCCTACGCTGTTCAGGAGCCCCAGTGGCACAGTGGATTGAGAGCTGGGCCGCTAACCCATAGGTCAGTGGCTCAAATCCACCAGCTGCTGTGTCGGCTTCTGTAAAGAACACAGCCCTGCCAAGGGCAGCCCTGCTCCGTTCTGTCCTAAAGGGCGGCCGTGAGCCCAGATCTACTCCACGTCGGTGGTCCCGCACGGCTTAGTGCTTTGGAAAGAATTCTCAGCTGGAAATTTGGGGAGCCTCTGACACGGTCCATACCTTCTCCCTCGTTTTGCTTCCTTGTCAGTGGACTGCTCCCCGACCTGCTGCTGTCTCCCCTCGGTACGCCTTGCCCACCCACCTGTGGTCCCTGGGACTCCTGGGATGCTCTGACTCCTGCCCACCCCAATCCCCACCAGCTGTTCCGGTGTCCAGAGCTCTCCTGAGTGCCAGGCCATGAGCCCTTCACCCCTCAGCTCCTCCACTGGGCCCCCCTCACCCCATGTGCTGCACCGAGCTTTGCTGTGACCCCCACCCCTCCAAGTCCCTTACAGATCTCTCCTTGGCCCCATCCCACTGTCCTTCTAGGTCCCACCAGCCAGCTGACTGCCTGGCTCTTCACCCCTCCCCATTCCAGGAGTCTCTTCACCCAGCATGGCCAGGTGCTCGGGGCCCCACTACACGTCTCTTTGTCGTTCACGCCGATTCAGTCTCTCTCATTGAAAACCACTCTAGAGGCAGAAGTCACACATCTTTCCATCTCCCTACCTCTGCTCTCTGGTAACTTCTCCTCTATGGGAGACACCTCCTCCAGGAAGCCTTCCAGACATGCTGGTGGGGCCCTCAGCCCTGCATGCCCCTCAGAACCAAGGGTGGTCAGCTTCCCAGCTTTGCCTCTGCACCTGGGCTGCTCACAGTGCTCGTCAGGTCTGTACCGTTCAAAGGCCGTGCTCACTAATCACTAATGGTCACTCCTGTCCCTTCTGTCTGTCCTGTGGGCATCTGCTCAGGTGGTGTGTACTGGCAGCAGGGGGAGGTGGACCCTGGCACTGAGGAACAAGGCCCATGCCCTGACCTGCACTCTGCACCAGTTGGTGAAGGGAGGGACCACCCAGTTCTCGCCTAGATGACCTCTCCATCTTCCTGGGTCCCTACAGCTGGGGCAATGCCTGGTCCAGGGGGTGGGAGACCTAGTCCTGGCACCTCTCTGCTCTGCTCTGTGGCCTGGGAGGACCCTGCCCCTCTGTGGGATGGATGAGATGACTGCAGGGCTTCCCAGTCTCATGCTTCCAGGCTCTGGAATCCCAGCTCCGCTCCCAGGCCCAGCCTTTACCTCTGTAGGATGTGGGCTCCACGTCCTCCTCCCCCCGGGACTCCTCAGCACTGAAAAAGGCAGGGCCCAGGCTTAGTGTCCCCTGAGGAGTGAGCGTCCAGCGAGTATCCAGCAATCCCAGCCTCACTGCTTGTCCTCCTCCCTCCTCCCAAGGGCACCAGCTCCGTGGCCACCACCTCCAGGAAGCCAGCCCTGGCAATGGCTTGTTCACACTAAGATGTGAATGGCTGCCAAACCCACTGCCACAAAATTGATTCCTATACCGACTCGGTGACCCTGCAGCCCAAGCAGAACTGCTGACAGGGCTTCCGAGCCCGCCGTCCCTACGGAAGCGGACTGTGTCGCCTTCTTCCTGTGGAACAGCTGGTGGGTTCGAACTCCCAACTTTCTGGTCAGTAGTTGCATGCGTAAGCCACAGCACTGCCAGAGCTCTGTGCCCCTGGCCCAGAGCAGGCTCAGTTTAAGGGCCCTGACTTAGCACAAGGAGCCCTGGCAGCGCTGCATGTTACATGCTGGGCTGCTAATTCAAAGGTTGGTGGTTCAAATCCACGAGACTCTTCTGGGAGAAGGCCGTGCAGCCTCCTTCTGTTGGGGTGTGTGAGCTCAGTGAAGGGCTACTGTGAGTTGGAATGACCTTACGGCTGTGGGTTTGCATTATGATTCTTTCTTCCCCTGCTCAGCCTGGAGGCATTTGGATGTGGTCCACACCAGGGAGCAGACCTGTCCCCAGGCAGAGCCTGGCAGATGGGCAGGCAGAGGAAGCCGCTGCCCCGCCCCAGCTCCCAGTCACCCCAGCATCCTCCCTCCACCCGCAGCGCCAGGCTTTTCCTCAGCGGTTCCCATGGCAGCAGCCGCGGGGGCTGAAGCGAGAGGGGTGAGTGGGAGGCAGGGGCAGCTGTTTGCAGATGCTGTCCTGCCGGGAGGGATGCCAGCTGGGGGTGGGGCTGGACTGAGGGCTGGACCAGGACGGCTGGGCTGAGGAACGACGGTGGGTGTGGAAGCTGAAGCAGGCGGGCATGCACCAGATGCCTCACAGCACGGTCACCGGTTCAATTCCTCGGTCACCACCACAGCGTCACATCCTCCTCACATTTCACAGACGAGCTTCCAGGTGGAGAACTGTACGACTTATCTAAGGTCTCACAGTCAGTTATAGCCGGGCCAGGATTGAAGCTCTGATCAAGACCTGGTGGGTCTGTGGTTAAAGCCCTGGTTGCAGGTAGAAGTTTGGCAGTACAAACCCACCAATTCCTCCAAGAGAGGAGCTCTGGAGGTGCAGTGGGGGAGTCGGTCCTGGGGGAGCTCGGTCCTGGGGAAGTCGGTCCTGGGGCAGTTGTTCCTGGGGGAGGTGTGGTGGTTAGGTGATAAGCTGTTAATCAGAAGGTCAGCAGTTCAAATCCACTGGGTACCCCAAAGGAGAAAGAAGCGACAGTCTGCTTCAGACAAGATTTACGGCCTCAGAAAACGAAGGGCTGGTTCCACTCTGTCCCACAGGGTCACTGAGCTGGAATCCACTCCACGTCAGGGGATTTGGTTTAGTTCTTGGGTGATTTTTTTCCCTAGGTCGCTCCAGTGCCCACACCCTGAACCATCACACGTCATGCCTCAGGCACGTGGCACCTGGAACCCTGACGGTGGGGGCTGGGGAGGGGCTGCCTCCAAACCCATGACCCAGCCTCCAGGACCCAGCTCCTCAGGTCTTAGGTCCCCTAGGACTGACTCCCCCAGGTCCGACTCCCCCAGGACCAAGCTGCCCCAGGACCGACTCCCCCAAGGACTGACTCCCCAGGACCGAGCTCCCCCAAGACTGAGCTCCCCCAGGTCTGCCTCCCCCAGGACTGACTCCCCTAGGACTGACTCCCCCAGGACCAAGCTCCCCCAGGACCGACAGGCCCAGGACCAACTGCCCCAGGACTGAGCTCCCTCAGGACCACTCCCCCATGACCAAGCTCCCGTAGGACCAACTGCCCCAGGACCGACTCCCCCAGGACTGAGCTCCCCCAGGACTGACAGCCCCAGGACCGACAGCCCCAGGACCGACTGCCCCAGGACCGACTCCCCCAGGACTGAGCTCCCCCAGGACTTAGATTCTCCAGGACTGACTCTGCCTGGATTACTGCCTCCACACAGCCAGCTAACTCCCACTTGCCCCCTTGTCAGCTCATTACCACCTCCTCCAGGAAGCCTTCGCTCCCTGATGCTTGGGCCAGGGCATGCAAAGCCACTGGGTCCCCAGAACACGGAGATGGGTAGGACTTTGTCTCTCTAGGTCGGGAGCATCTGAGGGCGAGGCCAGGCGGCTTGTCTTCATGATTCTGTACTAGACAGCTACGATGTCACTTAACAGACACCAAGAGCTTGTTGTCGGCTGGTCAAGAAAGCAGTCTTGGAGTTAATAAAGGAACTTGGTGGTGGAGTGGGTGACACGTTGGACGACTAACTTAAAGGTCAGTGGTTCAGATCCACCATCTGCTTCACGGGAGGAAGGTGGGCATCCCCCTCCTATAAAGGTTTACAGCCTCAGGAACCACGAGAGGGCTGGCATGGATTGGAGCAGGTTCAACAGCCGTGAAGTTCGTTTTGACATAAACAAGTTCTCATCTTGATTTTATATACTCCGTGAGCACTGACTAATCGTAATGCTGGCAATTACAGCATGCTTGTGCAATAAGAATCCTTGCATTAACCATGGCTGAGGGGCTGCAGTTCCCAGAGCGAACAGTTAAGTCTTCTCCTTCAAGAATGGCTAAGACACCTCGGAAGAAAGGCCTGGCTGTCATCTTCCAAAGGTTGCGGTCAAGAGAATGCTGTGGAACAGAGCTCTGCTCCAGCACTCGTGGGTTGGTATCAGTGAGAGTCAACCTGATGACAACCTTTTTAGCTGCTGACTGGCCATCTGACCCCACACGCTATTCCACAGCTCAGGACGTGGCGGTCTGCTAATGTAACAATTACTACTCTGCGAGGCTGTGGCCCCTGCTGCTCCGTCCTCCAGCGTCACTGTGGTTAGAGTCCGCTAGACAGCATGGGTGTGGTTCTGGCTTGGGTTAGCCCATTTTACAGATGAAGAGATGAGGTACGGAGAGGCAGCATGGTGGTACGTGCTGGAGCTGGGTGTGGGTCTAACCCGTCTGGCCTCTGTGAAGCCTGGGGTGACCCAGATTCTCTCACTCCCATCAGCCATGCACGTGAGTGTGTCATTATCACTGCGGGGTCGCTCCAGTAGGCATGTTAGGTGGGTCATGTGACCTCACTGTTCTAGGCATGCTAGGTGGGTCATGTGACCTCACTGTTCTAGGCATGTTAGGTGGGTCATGTGACCACACTGTTCTCGCAGTTCACGCCTGCTAGGTGAGAAGGAAGGAGCAGGCCGGCATGGGGCATCACCTTCAGGGACTCCCATCACTCCAAAGGAGCTCACCATGGAGGTGATGGGCACTGGGCACCTGCCCCGGGCGGCTCTCCCGCCATCCACACCCATCTCC